GACTGAACATCAGTTAAAATCTACAGATTAGCATCTTAATTCTGCCATCTTATGGAAGATGCACTGCTAGCATAGCATGAAATTTTAGATGTTGCCAAGAAAGTAGTATAAAGATGCCACGTCGGGAAAAAGGTTTGTTATTTCGAGAAGATTAATTCTTGAAGATTAATATTAAAGACTAATTAAAATTCACACATTTCCGTCTGTGGCAAGATTCTCTTAAGTATAGTCCTGAAAAAAAATATATAGCTTTATGTATGTGCTCGTGGGTGTGTATGAGAGTAAACGTATGCGTGTATTGTCTATGTGTATTTGCGAGAGTATGCGAAATCATATATGGATATGCACATGGATATGTGAGTGTGTGTGTGAGAGAGAGAGAGAGAGAGAGAGAGAGAGTGTGTGTGTGTGAGAGAGAGAGAGAGAGAGAGTGTGTGTGTGTGTGAGAGAGAGAGAGAGAGAGAGAGAGTGTGTGTGTGTGTGAAGAGAGAGAGAGAGGTGATGTGTGTGTGTGCGTGCGTGTGAGTGTGTGTGTGTCTGTGTGTGTACGTGTGCGTGTGTGTGTGCACATACCAAGCAGAGGTCCGGACTCTCATCCGAGCCATCAGCGCAGTCGTTATCGGAGTCGCACAGGTACCGGTAGGGGACGCATCTCTCGCCGCTCGTGCACGCGATCTCGTCGCCCGTGCAGTCCAGGGCCGCTGCGGGTTGCCGGGGAGCCATTTGTTTGTCAGAATTCTTTATGAACCTTTCAGCAGTTATGTTCATATATTTTTTAACTTCTTCATCTTCATATATATATATATATATATATATATATATATATATATATACATATTATATTATAATATACATACATAATATACATACACACACACACAACACACACACACACACACACACACACACACACACACATATATATATATATATATATATATATATATATATATATATATATATATATATATATATATAGTATATATATATGTATATATTACATCTACAGTGGTTGCTAGTAAATTGACTTAGGTATCAAGCCAAGCACTTCTCACAACAACAACAACAACAACAACAAAGAAAGCCAAACGAGAACACTCACAAGCAAAGCCGAGACACAGGAGAAGCACAAATCTCTTCATGGGGGCGGGGATGGGCGTGCGGGCGTGGGCGTAGGGACAGCGATTTCCTGTGAAAAGCGAAATCAGGAGGAGTCGTTGGGGGGCTGCTTATCGTTATTTATTTTCTCTCCTCTTCTTTTCTGTATTATGGGAATAGATATAGATAGGTAGATAGATAGGGAGTTAGATAGGTAGGTAGCAGGTAGATAGTAGATAGATAGGAGGTAGGTAAATATAGATAGATAGATAGCAGTTAGATAGGAGTTAGATAGGGTAGACAGGTAGATAGAGAGATAGATTATAGGTAATATATAGATAGAGAGATAGATAGATAGTAGATATATATAGATAGGGAGTTAGATAGGTAGGTAGACAGGTAGATAGAGAGATAGATAGTTAGGTAGGTAGGTAAATATTATAGTAATAGATAGATAGACAGTAGGAGTATATAGATAGGAAGATTAGAATAGGGGATAGGTAGACAGGTAGATAGATAGATAGATAGGTAGGTAGGTAAATATGTTAGATAGAGAGATAGTAGATAAGGATATATAGATAGGACAGCTTAAATTGATAGATAGATAGATAAGTGGACGCGCATGGAATCAATTGAAGTTTTTTTTTTTTTTAGTACGAGTATAATTTAGTAGTTGTTATGAATGTGAGTGAGTGAGATTTCAGGATCTAAAAAAAAAAAAAAAAAAAAAAAAAAAAAAAAAAAAAAAAATCTACAAGGTGAAGGTGATTTTTTTTTTTTTTTTTTTTTTTTGTAGCATCAACAGGGCTGAATTGCTACCAATTCCTACTGTTCGCTCCCCAGTTGTGTATGATGCAATGGAACTTATTCAACTTTCTTTTTTTCGTGTGTTCAGGAAGCACAAACAAAATAACAGCATTTGTATCTAAACATTAAAAATAAAAAATAATAAAAAATAAAAAATAAATGTGATAGAAGCTGCCATCGAAAAGGCAATTACATATTTCTATCACGTTTTCTCTTTATCTACCGATTCGTTTACCTGTTAATTAATTTACTAAATTATCCATTCGTTTTCTTATTCATTTCTTGATTGTCTAAGTTCTTTCACAAGCTTGGTATCTGTGGCTTTTATGCTTCTATGGAATGGATTTTTTTTTAAGTAAAACGTTTATATGAAAAAGATATATATCTTTTATTACTGCTATGCACATTATTGTTGTTGTGTGAGGTTTCAATGCTAATAACGTGCGTTGACTCATACTAATAGGTTTCACTTATTCCTTATTCTCGACTTCGTGGGTTAAGGAACTTACTAAGAACAGGTTTGTGTGTGTATCTACGTACAGAGACTTACTCTCTTCTCTCCTCCTCTCCTCCTCTCCTCCTCCACCTGTATCTCTTTCCCCTCCCATCCCCCTCGATGTTCTTCCTCCTCCTTTCTAGTCTGTCTACTTCTCTCCTCCTCCTGTATCTCTTTCCCCCCTCCTCCTCCTCCTCCACCTGTATCTCTTTCCCCTCTTCTCCTCTTCCTTCTCTTATTCCTCCTACCCCTCCTCCTCCTTCTTCTCTTCCTCCTCCTTCATCTTCTCTTCTATACAGTGCCAGTATTGTTTGGTAAAGTTTTTATAGACCTTTTAATCGACATTTTGTAATGTTGATGATATGTCTCCCCCCCTGCGCGTGTGTAAATAAGAGGTGTGTTATTTTCACATCTTTATCTGGAGGGCAGTTATGTGTGTGTGTGTGTTGTGTGTGGAATGTGTGCTTTTATTTTGTTTGGTTTATTTGTATGTGTGTTTTCTTTGTTATGGTTGTGTTTTTGTTTGTGTTTTATAAGCGTGCTTTGTTTGACACCATTGAATAAAAAAGAAGGAAAAAATACAAAATAAAAGGAAGGAAAGAATGGAAAATACAATAAAGAGCTACAAATAAAAGGAAGGAAAGAATGGAAAAAAATACAAATAAAAGGAAGGAAAGAATGGAAAAAAATACAAATAAAAGGAAGGAAAGAATGGAAAAAAATACAAATAAAAGGAAGGAAAGGAATTGGAAAATAAAATAAAGGAAGGAAACAGAATGGAAAAATTGTCAAACGGAACTGCATGATGTTCAGAGAAGCTGCAATGAGCTGAGGGCATCGGAGGGAAGTGGCGCCGAGACTGGCAGCCGCCATCCGGGCCAGAGCAACCGCGGCCGGAAGGTGAAAACCCTTCAAGACGGCGGTTCGGAATTTGATCTAAGGTCTATTACTACTGCGAAACCTGGACTACTTTGACACTAGAAAAAAAAAACAAATAAAAAGTACAAATAAAAGAAAAAACATATAAAAGAAAATACAAATAAAATAGCACAATTTAGAAAAAAACATATAAAAGAAATACAAATAAAAAGAAAAAACATATAAAAGGAAAATACAAATAAAAGAAAAAAACATATAAAAGGAAAATACAAATAAAAGAAAAAACATATAAGGAATACAAATAAAATCAAATAAAAGAAAAACACAAATAAAGAAAAAAAATAAAAAAACATATAAAAGAAAATACAAATAAAAGAAAAAAAACATAAAAGAAAATACAAATAAAAGGAAATTGAAAATAAGAAATAAACATAAAAAATGACCAATATTTTTGTAATGGCATCTAAACCGGAAATAAAAACGGAAATCAATGATTTTGAGTTTTTTTGATACGATTAAATCTGACATTCCGTGACCTACGTATGACCTTGACGCAGGATTATATCCACATTTCGTATGTCTATCGCGGAACATTGTCAGGTGTAGTGTTTAGCCATTCGTGTATTCTGTGTGCGATGAATATCAACAAAATTCCCTTGACAGGATTATCGGTGGCAATGAAGTCTAGGTCTTCTTTGTGTCATGCTTCTTTGCTTCTTTGTGTCATGAAACCAAGCAACGCAAATACATGGCGTCCCGGATATCTGCTGAATACTGATATGAAGTTGATATGAAGGACTGTGATAGCGCTTTATCCTGAGGGTCTGTAGAGCTCGCTGGAAATAGGGGACGATGGGCCAGCGATGATAAAGCAACGAGGGCGACATTTGATATATATTTTTGATATATTTTTCTCTTTCTTGAAGGATTTGGAGACCGGGAAAAAAACGCGTAGGGTTCGGCAGCTCCCTAATGTAGTGCGAGATGGAAACAAAAAAAATTAGGCCCTGAATAGAACGTAAAAAAATGTGGGCAAATCCTTGTAAAAGATAAGTATTCTGGCGAAGTCGCTGTCGCCAGTTCATAGAAGATTACACCCCTCAATAGACACGTTCTTTCTCATGCGAGTCACGAGTTGCTCTTGAACTTGGCAGTGAACCAAGGACTGAAAAATAACCTTGGCCCAAAGCTGACACACGCACAGACACACGCACACGCACACGCACATACACAACACACACTCATGGCAATCACAGGCACAGACCATTTTATGGTTCATTATCTATCTACTGGGTATGCGTGTCGGGTGTATGACTTATACAGGTAGAAATTAATAGATAGAAAGAGATATGTAAATTGATATATGGGGCATATAAAGATAGAGATGGATAGATAAATACATAGATGGATAGGTAGATAGCTAGACAGAAAGACATATAGAAAGGTAGGTAGGCCATAGATGGATACAAACATAGATAAACAGATATCGACGGATGTATACATATAAATAACAATAGATCAATAGACGAACAAAAATAAAGGCAAACAGATAAAAATAGACAGGTAAACAGACAGGTAAACAGACATCCACACATCGTCTCTCCCTGCCGAGAGCCAGTTCCTCAGCCCTGGAAAGGCGACGTCTCTCCCCCCGAGAACGAGCCTTACCTGCTAGCAAGCGAAGCACCGGAGCACTGGGCGACGGCGGGCGGGCGAGGGC